CTCTTCTCTCGCTATTTTTTTTACTCAATTCAACGACTTCAAAGCAATAACTACTTGATTTATCATCTCTATAAAAATTTAGAATAACTGCTCCAATTCTCTAGAGAATTCCCTTCTCGTATATTTGAAAAATCCAAAATTGTTATCAGATACGTAAGTCCATATTTTTTCATGTATTCAGTTCATTGACTCAGCTAGCTTTTTCGAAACACACAAGTGTATGGAAAGTATAGAATGAAAAAAAAAACTACACCAAAATATTAAGTCCAAAAAACACCCATTGGAATTAAAGTCACCAATGACCTTTTATTGAGAGGTTTTAATTATTTTGCTGTATGCCAGCATAGAAACAGCAACAGTAACAGAATTTTAGAAACTATTAAACCACAAGTATTGGCTTCCGCGCAACGTATCGCGGGTTTGATTCCTGCGGAGTAATTCTTTGTCCGATCCACAAATTGTTGGTTCGGGTCTGGGTGTCATGTGTACGTGAAATAAATTGTATGTTTGTAAACGCACCCACGTCACGGTAGAAAATCCTAGTGCGGAGCAAAGGTAAGCTATTTCCTTCAAAACTCTAATTTTGAAATGTTAACGTCCTCGCGGTTTTGTCCATATAGGCAACATATTTTAAGACCCTTCACCATGAGGTATGCTGAAGGTACCTGCAACAATTCCGTGGGAACCCTCATCTGTGCACACAATCACATGTAACCACAATCGTCATTGTAACTCAGATATATTATTTGCTTTAATAACTTCTTAATGTACTTATAATCATATTTTACTTTAGCTCATTTTCATTGTTAAAATCTAATTGTAAGTAATTTAATGTCACAAATATAATCACCAAATGTTCGAGAAAGTGTCTCAAATATTGGGTGATTATCTAGCTTATTGTGATGAATTTTGCAATCAAGGCTCGTTAGTCAAGTGAATGTTATCATGGACTCATGTCAGGCAAAGCAAAATTATTAGAAAATTATGCCCAATACATAATAATACCTATGTACACAAAACACCGCTAATTAGTAGCAGCGCCACACATCGACACAACTGTCATTTACACAGTGTGCATGTGTGGGTAATTTCATATTACTGTGTATAAAAATATTCGTCCACCACATTCACATTGGTATATTCATTCTTTTGTCGGTATACGTATTTTTATAATTTAATGCAAGGGTAAGGTTAAAACTATTTACAATCATTGATATGACCCGACATTTTCACTGTCATTATCGTAATACTCCTGGTCGATTGGTTAATGAGCACGCTTTTATCGTCTTTCAAGGATCAATGATGATGTGGGTTCTATTCCAGCTAAAAGTTTTTTTATTTTACCTTGTTGTTTTTCTTATTTTTTTTTTTTTTTTTTTTAATATTATATCAGGCTATAAAAGAAGCAAATGAGTCGGTAAATAAAACAATACCAATTTTTATTACAATTAATTTATTTATTATACAAATATGTGCTTTTATATTCAATATTTGTATCTAATAATTAATTATATACCACATGTTAAGTTTAAAGTTCTTTAAATCATAATTAATAGATATGATAATAAACCTCATAAGTAGTCGAATCGGGAAGTATCATGCGGTAATGCGATGGCAGCAACATTTTTTATTATGTAATAAACAAATACAACATTTTTGTTTTGTAATTTAATAAAACATTAAGTAATAAACAAGTAAAACATGTAAAAAAAATTACACTGAAATTTTAACATGTTATTTCTTGAAATGGGCGACTTTTTGTCATTGGAATCTTCAATTAATTATCTATTTTACGACCGTTGTTATAAGGTTCAATATTCAGAGGCTGTATGTTACTAAAAAAAATGTGTCAAATGCTATGGAACGATTTTAACATTCATGACCTTTAGATTCAGGGAAACTTTAAATTAGTTAAAGATGTGCGTAAATATAATATGTCAATCAAGCTCGAAATCAGTTAAATAAATTTGTTAATGAAAAATTAAAGTGAAGTGAATCAACATGTTGAATAGAAAGAAATTATGACAATTTCTAACCACAAAACAATAACATCACTTCACCGTATGCTCTAGACAGCATTTTAATATTCTTAAAAAATATAAACATTATTATAAGTTAATTTGAATAAAGGCTACATTACGTTTTGTAAAATATTCAAGTAATCATGACTGTTACTGAGACCAGATATTTCCACGAGCTCACCGGGACCCATAAAAGACATCCAACCCCAATACCCGACAGTAATACGGCCACTGGTCCTACAAGGCAGAAGGTTACAATTCGTATACCTTTCTCCATCTTTTCTCCACAATATTTTACGCCATCCTTATCCGACTTGAAAGTGTTTTCGTCACTAAATATAACCACACTGTTCGCCCAATCAAAATTAATAAAGTCCCTAGCAAATTCTAATCGCTTTTGCTGGTGCACCACAGATAACAATATTTTCTTCGCTGGCTTTCTGCACCTTAAACCAGCAGAATGCAGGTGTCTCCGTACAGTTTGTATTGAAACATTCAGTGCTGTCACTTTAGTGTGTGTTGGCAGGAACGGATCAGCCTTGTGCCTGACTACGATGTCGTAGTGCCGAGCCGATGAATTTGCCTTTGGTTTAGGCCCACGTCGACGATGTTCAACGTCACCGGTCTCCGCATATCTGTGCACCCATAACTGCACGGATCTCCTCTGTTGATACCAAACAAATAAGTATTTAAAATACCAGGAAATACTTTACAGGAATTAAAGTTACTTAAAAATAATAATAAATATAATTAATATCTATAAATAACTTTAAATTATAAACACAATATCAACTAGATATAAATTATAAACACAATATCAACTAGATAGAATATCAACGTAGTATATTATTTACTCACCGATATCATTAAACGCCTTGCAATTTCAATTATTGGTATGTTTTGCTCATGCAAAACAATGATTTCAGCCTTTTTAAATGTTGATAGGTGTTGGAACATCTTGTAAAAATAAAAATAACTTTGCACTCGAATATGAGTAGCGTAGCAATAAACTATGAAATCCTCATACATTTGACAACTAAGAACGCAATTATTTTGTAAGTCGGGTGATTTGAAAAACTTGTTTTATATAGTCGGTAGTTTCTTCATAAGCGGGTAAAATAAAATTCCATGGTCGCCACAAACATTACAAATATACTCAGGTATCCAACCATTAAGAAAGCATAGTTATTACTTTTTTACTGTTTTTTATCTTATTTAAGTTGGTTGAAATGCATGAAGCAAATGAGATTATTCTAAATAATAAATAGCTAGAACTAAATATAAATAAAAGATATTATAGGTATAAATAAATCTAAAGTATTTACTATTAAAATTAACATAAGATTTAGAAAAATAGGATAAGAAAAAAAAGAAAAGATTTAATTGTTTCAAATTTCAAATATTTGATAAATTAATACTAATACAACATGTGAATGCCGGAATCGATCCGGCGGCACATTACTTGACGACAACTGGAGGCGATAACCATTGCGCCAAGCGCGCTGTAGATGAGATCATCGAAATATTGTATATCATTCAGTAACATAAAAATACGATGAGAAAACACTATATTTATATGGGTATTGTATAGCTCGATCGTTCATTATTTGATTTCGATTTATTCAAAGTTTGTTATGAGTATTTTTATCTTTACCCTCGTTTTTATTTAAACTTATTTACTAAATTATTACGTATACCGACACAAAAATGATATTTAAATACCAAGATGTGTGTGATAGACGAATGTTTCTATACATATCTATTAATATGAAATTACCCACACATGTATATTGTGTAAATGATAGTAGTGTCGATGTGTGCTACGAACTAATTAGCGGTGTTTTGTGTACCTAATCTTGGTTCCCTTGGGAAAGTGAGTCACATAGAAATAAGGCAAACTTTAAAGACAACGTCGTTGCTTCTAGATATGTGCTGTACAATCTTGGACACAGGCCTCTTCCAGTACCGTCGAGGCTATTTGGTATTTAGTCTTTCAAATCCAATTCAGTCCTCTGGAGCGTCTGAAGTGGTCTACCAGTCTTTTAAGTGGATGGCCATGCAGTCTGGCCGCGAACCATTGATCATCCTGTTCTTATTTAATTTATAGATATAAATGTAATTAATAAATAACAAAGAAAGAATATAAAATGTACCTACAACCGATGGGAATGTTTAGATGGATCACCCGTCAGTCTGTCAGTTTGTATCGCAAAGTGAATGTATCAATTAGCCTTACAATAGGAGTCAGAATACATCTGGCTACAAATGCCAGTGGACCAGTGGGTAAATGGCAATGCTGCTTTACGCTGAAACCTGTATTTTTTTAGTAAAGATAATAATTTGCATGTTTTATTTAGGTACCTATATTATGAGGATGAGATTTGATACATAGATAAAACAATAAAATAAATATATTAATCACAAATATCCCTAGATAGTTACAAATTTCAAGTAATAACATTACTACTGCTACATCTAAAAATTTACTACAATATGGTAAGATATGACTTTTCATTCATCTATTTCGTATCTAGAGGCAATCTGAAAATCCTTCAATGTTGATACACACTCCACTATGGTAGTAATTAACATTGGCATGACCTAAAACCGCAACTTGTTATTACGAATTTGACTTTGACTACCGTGGGAGCAGACAGTCAAACAGACCGCCTCCATCTTAGCATACCACACACAGACACAATCGAACAATTAAAATAACACCACTACCATCGAAATCTATAACGCCCTAAAAAGTGAATCTGTCCACATCCACATACAAGTAATTTAACAAAACTATTTGGACAATTAAACAATTGGGGGCTTACGGCACAAGTGTAGCTGCAGAGAAAAAGATTTTCCGTTTCAGATAATGAAATGACAACAATAGCGGCACTTGCGCAATATTCGCACGGTGGCTTTAAGAGTGGGGCGATATTTTTATATAGGGGAGTCACGGGCGCGCCGCCGCCGTACCGTCGACATGCCGACAGCCAGCCTGACGAGATGATCGTCCTCATCATCATCGCGTGCATTACTACAGCGGCTGCTACTAACTCCACCAAAGATGCGACCACAGAGTCCCCGACTAACACCACCAAAGAGATCCTCAAAGCGAGTGAAACAGCTGATCCGAAAAAGGTGCAAATTGTGAAACAAATACGACGCTTGAATGAAGATGGATCATACACCATAGGCTACGAGGCTGATGACGGCACATTCAAGATTGAAAATAAGGATGTGCTTGGAAATGTTAAGGGAACATTTGGTTACATCGATCAGGATGGTGAGATCAAACGTGTGACGTATACATCTTCGAGTGATAGTACACCTGTTCCAGTTACTACCAGCACGACACCGAGTACACCAACTATGATCGTGAGGGTTAATAAAACAGTGTCATCGACCACACGCAGACCTTTGCCTACAGTAGTTTACCCCACGAGAGGATCGTATACTACGCGGGGAACTGTGATCCAGGCTATACCTAGGAGACGTGCTCATGCTAGTTCCACTAGAGCTCCACTTACAGAAACTACGACGGAGTCCCAGAAACTTGAAGAGACAACAACAAATATTTTAAGTTTGTATAAACCAAAAGTAGAGGAAGTGAAAACACGGACACAGATTCTGAAACCGATGTCGGCGACTGTGAAAGATGATTTGATTACAAGACAAACGACTACGAAAATTCCCGCGACTGTGAAACCGGTGTACGAACGTGTTACCGAGAAAGATCAGGAAAGTGATGCAAACAAAGCTAATACTATCCGTCGCGAATTAAGTGGAACCAGTCCCAACCCACGCATGATCAGTCTCCAGCAGTCCGTTGGTGATGATTCGACAGACGTCTATGGAAGCCATCTATCCATGGGTACAGTTCGACCTTTGTTCACGACCACTACTCCTCGACCACGACTAGTGCCTATACATTCCTTAGTAGCTGCTAGGCAGAAAATTCAACAACAATACCAAGACGTACCCATTCAAGAACAAGAAACCACAATCGAAGCCAGCACTGGACGAGTTTTCGATCAGGATCACGTATTGACTACTAATGCAGTGCCAGTAGTTCATATCCAACCTCAGAGGGATCCTAACGACCAGGTGTACCAGCAACCTATTTACAGACGACCACCAGCAGCAGTCCATTTCCGTACCCGGGAGTATTTAAGAGACAACCCTGGAGCTCCGGTGCCTATCGGGAACACGCGACCCTTCATCCAGTATGAATTCCAGAACAAAGTGTTAGAGCCTCAGTACTTGAAGGAGACCCCACAACACCAGCAAAGATCTCAGGCGTCCGCAGAAGTGACTCCGAACCCTTACGACCCGCGACCTGTGACAAGGATTATCCCTATTCCTGTGGACGATAGAGGAGTGCCACTGCAAGGTTACCAAGGACGTTTTGTGAACCCCTACCAGAGACCCGCCCTGTTCCAGCCGAGATACGAACCTGTGGACGAGATGACCTCCATCGCTGCTCCTGTGAGTACCAGAGATTTGCGGCGCTTGCTACACATTCTGATATTACGGCAGAATAAGTTGCAAGCGTTGATGGACCAGATGATGCCTGGGCCGTCTTTGTATCGGCCGGAGACCGACTACCGTTACCAGCGCTTCCAGGACGATGATCGCTACGACTACCGATACGATCAGTACCGACAGGAGTATCAGGGTCAGAGTTACGAGAATCAGTACGAGAGCCAGCGCTATGTCCCGCGGAGGAGGTACCCTCGGCCTTACGATACAGCTGGCTCCTCCTCCAACCATATCGAGGAGATGCCAGAGTATCTCCCACCTGAAATAAGAGAGGCTTTGTTGTTGAAGATGCTGATACTGGCCATCAGCCCGGACTTCATGCCCACGGTGGCGCCCCCCACAGAGCTGACCACTGCCGCTCCGCCCAGGAAGCAAGTGAGGAACATCCAGATCCTGGGCGAGGAGGGCTCCATGGACGACAAGCGCCAGCAGAGGCACTGAGGTAAATATTTATTGTAAAGCCTTTAATAGTAATACTCATGTAATTGTAAATAGTATGTTTTTTATGTGAACTTTGTGGTAATGAAACTTTTTAAAATTTTGCGGAGTTTGATTTCGTAACTTAAATCCTAATAACATAACGAGGTAACAATCAGTGACGACTAAACTTTTAATATAATATACTATAATCTAAACACAAATAACTAACATATCGAGACAATAATCTTTAACTAGTGGATGAAAATACCTTTTAACCCAAGAGTACAATCATACTCAAACTACCGCTATTCAAAACTGACAGGATGTGTTCCCCAAGCATGACAAGCAGTTTTAAATACTGTTTACCAACATTGAGAATCGTGTGTGTAATATAGGTACCACATATTTATACATAAGCCGTGTCCCAACATCCGTTGTACGCATTTAAGAAATGCCCCAAATTAGATACGCCTCCTTTACATTATTATAATTCAAGTAAATGAATCTCAAAATAAAAGTAAACATAAGTTGCTGAGAGACTGCATTATTCTTATACTCCAATTAGAAGTGTACTGTTAACTTGATAAAAACAATGGATCTAATCTCACGCTAACCTAGGCATTAAAATCTATACGACCAGCCGCTTATGCTAAACAATAAACATTAAAATTAAATACAGCACCCTAGTAACGTGTCCAAGACTAAATATTATACTCTAAAAAACCTAGACTATGTCTGCTTAACTCCCTCCTAAATAGACTAGATCATCATAAGAATAAAACCACTCTTAAAAAAACATCTAGTCCAAATACAAGAACACTATGTTATAATTATTTATGCAACATAGAACCAATATCGTAATTTCCTTTAAACGCAATGATGTATGTAGACAGTAATATGTAATTAAAAGACATTCATTGTGAAGAAATTATTGTCTTGATTTACTTACACATAAACTCATACAAAATAAACACCATTTTTGCATGTCCACGTCACTTGACACAACACTTGCATCGTATAATTTAGTCACCTTTTCTTCATTAACCAGTAATCACCATATTTTTTACTCTACTCTACTGAAAAACTATTTATAAGATAACACAAACATAACATACACTTATGTTATATTCCCAGACTCTGTGCTACCACTGAGATGTTTAAAAACCCAGTAATATTTTGCCCGACCCGAATCGAACCTGAGATCCCGAGACCCCTTGCCCGGCACGGCCCGGCTCGCACTTGCGATCACTCGGCCAGCGAGGCAGTCTGCCATAGCACAAACCTAATTATGGCTAACGTTTCTATTCTCGTATATTTTATCTCGTCATCTATATATCTATGAGTCGCGGAGAACCTAACGGGTAACCGGGGCTCCGGCTCGACGTGCAGGAGAAGGAACGGGGTGGTTTTTAGTCAGTAGGAGTCTGACATTCCCTCCCGCCTCACCCAGGCGGGAGCAGTCATTCGAAGGTTTTCCCCCCTTAAAAAAATCTATATATCTATACAGATAAATAAAATTGGAGTGCCTGTTTGTAATATTTAAATAATTACTTTTTACTACATACATACGTACGATACATATACCAACATATTTTTTTTATTATTTGTCTGTCGGTACTGGGTAATCTCTGAAGTAGCTGGACCGATTTTGACTGGCAGGTAGCTGATGTGGTAAGGAGTAATACACGTTATTTTTATTTAGGAAAATTGTAACAAAAAAGGTTATATCCTTAAATTCATATTCGACTCACTCGAATGAAGTCGCGGGCAACAGCTAGTACTTTATATTATTCTGACAATGAAAACAATGTGTTATTTTGTAAATATCACCCAAGGTAAACCAATGACTCGATAAAGGTCGCAGGGAGCCGCTGGATATGGGTCGTTGGCGCACGCTTATATTTAACAATAGACATCTCGTAGTTGATATGAAGACGTTGATGATACACAATCGCTTTCCGCCAGCTATAATGCTAGCATTCCCATAACAATATTGTCATCTATTTATTATAAATAAATGATGACATTCCATTCATTGACCCGAAGCATTCCCATGAAGACATTTTAACACATCCAATTCATACATTCTGTACCACATTGCGACAATGTCAGGCACCTGCCCACCCCAGTTGGCCAAGACTTGCTAGCGTGAAGGTTTTCCATTGTTTGCAAACTGTGGGCAATATTTTGGGAAAAAACCTTGAAGTCTACATCTCATAGTGTTACTAGAGATTAATGAATGGATGGTAATTAAAACAACTTTTGTTTATTTTTTCACATAGATGGAGAATAGGTCGATGTTGTTGGAAGGTTTGTCTCTAGTATATACAAATCAAATGGATTCAATACATCAGATAACCTTTAGCTTTTATTAATTAAACATATAACATCACGCCTTTTATCCCCGAAAGGGTAGGCAGAGGTGCACATTACGGCACTTAATACCACTGTACAATGTAACACCCACTTTTCACTATTTATGTTATGACTTCCATATAATAGGTGGTACAATTCCACAATACTTGCTACTACTGAGAATTTTTAAAAAAATCTCAGTAATACTTTGCCTGGCCCGGGAATCGAACCCGAGACCCCTTGCCCAGTGGTCGCACTTGCGACCACTCAGCCAACGAGGCAGTCTGGTTTATCAATTAAGTAAGTATGGTTTAAGTTGATAAAATATCAGCCTACAAGCAAGGTATTATTATTATTTTTTATTTTTAATCACTATCTAGTCGGGTAGTAAGCGATGATGGCCGACTTAGCCGACGATGGAGCACGCCTACCTATCTATAAGCAAACCATAGTCTCTTCTTCGACTTCAGTGTCAGATTATTACACGGTACTCATAACTTGATAGGCGAAAAGTGGATGTTACATTATAATGAACTCTATTGCTTACATCTTCAGACGTTAATTGGCGTGACATAATATTATGTTATAATTTATGTGACACCACTTTGAAAAAGTATAAAAACATTACAAAATACTATGCATTTTCTTGTGAACAATATCTTTAGTGATATAATAATATTATCTTTGATAGATTGCAAAGAAACCCAAGCCCTCTGAGCACGCCGCTTGAGAATCATTAGGTAATTTCCTTGAAATGACTTAACATGTAACAATCTAATGTAAGAGTGTAGTTTATATTGTATTTAAAACTGTATTATATGTCGTAATAGTCTAGGTTCGTTTTTCCGTGATTACTTATAATCATGCGCTTCTTTATTACAATTTATTAGCTTTCCTGATTGAAACTTGTGTCCGGTATTTACTCTAGCATTACTAATGAGTAATGCTTTATTTTAACATAACATCACACCTTTTTATCCCCTAAGGGGTAGGCAGAGGTGTACATTATGTCACTGTACAATGTAACACCCACTTTTCACTATTTATGCTATGAGTGCCATGTAATAGGGGGTGAGCCTATTGCCATATACTGGGCACTACTCCAGACTCCGTGCTACTACTGATTTTTTTTAAAAACCTACTAAAACTTTGCTCGCCCTGGGAATCGAACCCGAGACCCCTTGCCCGGCAGTCGCACTTGCGACCACTCGGCCAACGAGGCAGTCACACACGAGGCACATGCTTTATTTTACTTTTATTTTATTTTAGTAATACCGCGAAACAAAAGGCTCGAAGTCAATTCTCAGGTTAAAAAAAGGATTATTATATTTTGGAAAAGTATAAATAGTAACGGTAGGATGACTGATGTTTCAGTTCTCTACTCTAAGGACTTTCAACCCGAAACTACTGTCTTATAGCTTATCACTCATCATTATCTGACTGTTCTCGTCTCTAGACATAGGTCTCTCCAATGGCACGCCACTGAGCTCGGTCTTCAGCTCTACGCATCCAACCACTACCAGACACTTTCCAAATATCGTCACTCCACCTAGCTGGAGGGCCCTACGTTTGCCTAGACGCGGTCTCCACTCCAGAACACGTCTACCCCAACGGTCATCGATTCTTCGACAGATCTGTCCAGCCCACTGCCATTTCAACTTGCTAATCCTTTGGGCTTTTTTTTATTTTTATTAAGGGGGGAAAATCATTAAATAACTGTTCCCGTCTGGGTGAGGCGGGAGGGAGTATCAGACTCTTACTGACTAAAAACCACCCCGTTCCTTCTCCTGCACGTCGAGCCGGAGCCCCGGTTACACGTTACGTTCTCCGCGACAATCCTTTGGGCTACGTCGGTAACTTTAGTTCTCTGTCGGATCTGGGTCACGGATCCTATCTTTATAGCTCAATTTTCATAAATCAAAAGGATGCCAACTAAGACACATAATTCGCACAAATTCACAACAATGACAGGCCATTTAATAAACAAACAATAAAACACCTAATAAACAATTAAAACAATATTTAAAACAAATGACTGTTTAACACCAGACAATGTTCTAAACGAATGCATAACGTTGTACATAATTGCGCAATGTTCTTGGGAAATATGCCACACATACGTACATACGAAACTCCCATGCGTATAATTGTGGGAATAAGTCCCACGTCCCACTTGTGGGCTTGTAAGAAGTGACACAAAGTAACGTTCAATAATGTAATGCCTTGTGTAAGTGTGTTTTCAATAAATTGTTTCTTACGAGGTGCATATTTCAAGGTCACTTGTATTTTTTGTCGTGCTGGCCCGAGGGTTTAAGGCGCCCGCTTCTCGTGCATGTATACGGGTTCGAAACTTACCAACGGCAAGTACCAATTTGACTTTTTCCGAGTTATATGTACTTTCTAAGATTATCTAGACACCACTGACATACGGTGAAGGAAAACATGGTGAAGAAACCTGGGCTTATAATTTCTAATTATAAGTTTGTAATCGCCAATCCGCATTGAGCAAGCGTGGTGATTAATGCTTGAACCTTCTCCGTGTGTTGATGATGATGTATTTTTTGTATTAAAAATAATAGTAACAAATACACTAATATAAAGGATTCAGAAATATATCGCCATACATAAAGAATTCCGTGCGAAAGCAAGTTTGTTTGTTGCCTGTTTCTTTAGACATTTTAATCATATTCGACTTGTCTTTTTGAGAGAAAGATTCAATCAGAGGTGCACATTTGTGAGACGTTCAAA